TTGAGAATGATGAGGGCAATGAATGTACAAATGCGCTTTACACAATTGACGTATGTATGGATTGTGATAAGAGTTGTATGAGCCCCTAATTAAATGATTTTAAAAAAAAACTGAAAAAAAAATCCATTTACATATCTACGATTTATATATATCTCCGGTTTACTTTAGAGATATCCTTATCATTTTATGACAGAGAACATTATAAGTCATCCCCCTGGGGCATAAGGTAATTCTAATTGATAGTGTCAGTAATGTAGTCAATGGTATAGAATTTAAAACACAGTTGAGAAAAGGGGTTTTACATGTATAGGCTAGCTTCAGACCCACAAACATAAACTATTGACTTGTACAGATTCAACTCTTAAGTGATTGGACTCTCTTTGCATAAATAACAGGGGTTGTTATAGGGCAAAATTTTCAACAGCACTCATTCACTAAGGCAGAACCATGCCTTCCAGATTAATGCGTGCACGTCACAAGAAAACAAGGCGAGAGACACTAATATAGTAAATACAGGTAGCCCCACTTGCCCATCTTTTTTGTTTAGTCTTTTTAGTCTCTCTTACTCACATCTTTTGGCATAGAATTTTCGTCATTCTACCTTAGCCTAAGGTAGCAGTTCCCAACCTGTGGGTCCCAGCCCCTGTGGGGGTCGAATGACTCTTTCACAGGAGTCACAGGGGTCAGAACAGTAGCAAAATTACAGTTATGAAGTAGCAACGGAAATAATTTTATGGTTGGGAGGGTCACCACAACATGAGGAACTGTAATAAAAGGTCGCGGCACTAGGAAGGTTGAGAAACACTGGCCTAAACCTTCTGTTGCATTACTGGGGGAAAATTAGGCTTAGAGAGGTTAAGGCCCTCAACAAGTCAGTGCAGATTCAATACCAGAACTGGCAGAGTTTCCGAGGTAGAAAAGAATGCCTAATGCGTCCGCATATTTATAAAACCCTGCCTGTTTTTCTCGGAGACTTGCTTGTTGAGAACTATTCCATGAAAGTATTATTTGTTCTTATTGAGCAAACTAGTTTGAAATACTGCCTGGCTCATTGCAGATAACAAATATGACCATTTTGTGTACTTCTGAGACTCATCTTAAGTAATTTCTGTTTGAATGCAAAGATTAGATTACATGTCCTCTAAACCCTGAAATACTACCACATAAGCCTCATTAGACCAAAATTGTTAGCTGTTGGAGCAGAACAAATAACTAGCATGTAAAAATTAGGTCTTAAGCTAAAAAGCAACATGGTTTATTCTTTAAAAGAAATCATTAGAAACAACACACAAAAATATTAGACTTCTAGTCAAAAATACTCTAGTTAAAATTTGGTGGTTGATTTTTTGAGGTTTTTTTTTTTTCTTTGTGACTTTGTAAACAGTCTAAAAATAGTCTATGTCTGAAAAATAAAGAGTCTGCAGGCATCCTCAAACCATGGCCTGCGAGCCACATCCAGCCCGCCGGGTGTTTTTGCCCTGTTTTTTTTACTTCAAAATAAGATATGTGCAGTGTGCACAGAAATTTGTTCATAGTTTTTTTTAAAACTATAGTCCAGCCCTCCAACGAGTCTGAGGGACAGTGAACTGGTCCTGCTCTGGAGCATGCACCTAGCCTTACTATAAGGGTCATAGGACAAGTCAGGTAATGGGAGGGTGTTTTGAACATAGAAGTCTTACACATGAAATGATAAAGGGATCCTGGGGAGCAAAGGGGAGGGGGCGGGGGAAATTTGTGCCCTTTCATATTTTTTTGTACAGCACCATAAAATAGCACCTTGGGTGGAGAATTCTATTTAATTCGACAACTATTATGTAGTGTCTACCTACTAGGCTCCAGGCATTGTCAGGGATACAGAAACTGTAGCCCTTACTGCCCAGAAACTTCCCTGTTGGGTGAAAGAAAACAGAACAGAGAAGTGCGTTTTAGACTCTGTGATAAGCATGCCCAAGCGCTACAGGAAAACAGGTGAGCAAGTGGCTCATATGCGCCAGGGATTAGGGGTAACTGCTGCTACCCCGGATTAGTGAGAGCAACGGCATAAACCATGTCATTTATTAGGGTGTTGAATTAGGTTTCTGCCAAAATTTGAAAAGGAGAAGCAAATATGATCAATTAGAATAGAAAGTTATGACAATATAAGCTCTCTCTCCATCACCAAAACCTTTTTTTTTGTTTTTTTGAAAGAAGAGGAGGCGTTTGGATGGTCAGTGACATCACATCAGTACCCCGCAAAGTAATCTCTCTCTCTCTGGTTGTTCAAGGGCTTACTCTCAATCCTGCGCAAGTTGAAAAGTGCACCAGACCAGGAGGTGAGAATCCTTCTCCTGGGCTTGGACAATGCTGGCAAGACCACGCTTCTGAAGCAGCTGGCATCTGAAGACATCAGCCACATCACACCTACACAGGTGAACCGTCTGGGCCCCATGTGGGGCTGTGAGGATGAAAACCACAAAAGGCATAATGGGAAAATATTCTTGTCCACCTCCAAGCTTTATTTTGAGAGCAGTCTATGTATCCTAAGCGTAATCTAAACTTTCTGAAATATATCAGGACATAATTGAATCCCTCAGATCCAAATTGTTCCACCCCCATTGTTTTTTTAATCACTTTACCTTCCCTGATTAAGAAATTAACACATGTAAAAAGTACAAAGAATGTGTAAAGTGAAAAAAAAAAGCCATTGTCAATAACTGAGCGTTATTTTTTCAAACCTAATAAGTATAAGTATGTACCAATTCTTAGAATGAAAAAGAATTAGTTATATTTTACAATCTAGTGTCATACGCTTCTTTCCCAAGGGCATTTACAACATAAATAGACGTGATGTGCTCCCAGTTTGGAAGTGTGAAGACAAGTCCTGACGGGAAACGTTCTAATAGGCATCTCTAGATGCCATTCCCTTTAGGAAGTCCTGAGAAAAGCCGACCTTTGGGCTTCTTGACTAGAGGGACAGCCCTGTTCCTTATCTTGGAAGTGTTGGAGCATAGAGGTTTTAGCAAAACCAGGGTTTTCTGTTACCACGGTCTGTGAGTATTACTGATTTATAACTCTCTGTAGAAAGTCATCTCCCTGCTACCCAAAGAGCAATCTTAGAGTTTCTGAACAAACTTGGCATAGAGCCCAAGGCGGAGCAAATGACAGTGGGCTAGCCTACGAGGGCTGGAAGCTCCCATCGTGGGTCAGAATTTCTGCGAGAAGAGCTCTTTGTTGGAGTTTTAACAGTAGGCTGGATCACCGTAGGCCATACAGAGGCCTTCCTCACTGCCAACAGGGAAATAAACCAAAGTTATCAACCCCGGCCAGTTCCAGTCCCAACTTCCAGGCTTCGTGGGCAAGGTCATAGGTGACCTTCTTATCATACCATGTTAAGTTTCACCTTTATTCTTTAAAAACAAATTTTTACGTGTTTTTATTTTATATGAAAAAGTCACTATGTCCATTTAGTAAGTTTAGAAAGTTAGGAGTGTATGCTTGACATGTAAGAGAATACCATGCGGTCTTTTCTCCTACACGTATGTAGGATGGGTGTATTTCCAATAAATGTATGACTGACCTTGGGTCATCTCGCTCACTTAGTTTTTCATGGACACCATTCTGCATTGTTATAGATTTAAGGACTGGCACAATGCACATCCCTAAGTGTTTGTATCCACGCCATTGTTGTTTCCTTAGAGTAATTCTCTAGTACACTGTTTGGGTCTGATGCCTTCCAGAATTTTAAAGCACCTGGGACGTAAAACTAAATTCTAGGATTTACTCTTATTTACTCCCTGCCTCATTCTAGAAAGGATTTCATGTTACTAGCATGGACATTTGGTATCATAATGAGTATGAACATTTTAATACACCACAGTGGGTTTGTCACTGATTCAGAAGGAAGCAGGCTTTCTAGTAAGCTCAAGCCACTTCCCTTTGGAGTTCTTAAACTGAGTGTCTTCACTCACTGGCCTTTAGAAGTGCCGCGGTCAGTGTGGAGTCCAGTTAGGTGACAGAGTCCCCAGGCAGGCAGTCGCCCTGTGTTCTGTCCTCCTGTGCTAGACAGGAGTGTTCAGAAGCTTCCGGGGGAAGCCAGTGCTTATGGAGACAACCCTGGGCCTATTGAACTCCAGTTATTCTGGACCAGGTATTTTTCCTGCGGTTACAAGCAGCTGAGTGGAGTTCTCAAGTATTGATTTTATTGTATAAACGGGCTTCAAAGAGTTCATGGACAAAGTCCATGATCTTTTAACGCCATTGTCCTTGAACATTTCGAAGGCACCTCTCACCATTCTCGCAGGAAGCCTTCTGTGCGTTGTTTTTGATTCTCAATGGTGACGTGTGCTCCCCAAACCTCAGGGGTCTTGTTCATTTCTTTCTCGCCTCCCGCACTCCCAGTTCACATCAGCCGGACCTTGGTTGGCTTCTAGTTGGCTTCAGAAAAGCCCATTAGCAGACAGCCCTAACTGCCCTCCGACCTGGGCGTTTCCATCCCTGCCTGTAACAGAGGGCTCCCCTTGAGACCTTGAATTGGCTGTTGTCAAATGTCCCACCTTCCTGGGTTGATCACTGACTGGACCCAGCCTCCCACGGAGTATCCTGGGTCCAGCTCCACCCTTTCCCCACCATAGATTCGTAGGAGGAAACTGTTTTTCTTTTGCACTCCGTTTGAGAAACCAATCCTCCCAACTTGCTGTTCTTGCCAGGAGAATTCTATTTAATTCGACAACTATTATGTAGTGTCTACCTACTAGGCTCCAGGCATTGTCAGGAATACAGAAACTGTAGCCCTTACTGCCCAGAAACTTCCCTGTTGGGTGAAACTCAGGATTTGTTCTCTTCTGTTGAGTCTTCGGATGCCGCTTCTCTTTTCCCCCCGAGTGCCGCGTCCTGCCCTGTTAGGGTTACCAGCCTTGGATTCACCGGCGGGATGTCTGTATTGATTATCAGAGCTACTCTCACACTACGTCCTCCTGAGCAACTCTCTATTTGAGGGGGCTTCCAACAGTTCATGGAAACATTCCTTGGTCTTTTAATTCACTTTGAAGTTCACCGTGAACTCTTTGAAGCCTCCTTGTTCATACTCATCACTGAAAGTGACACTTGTAACACTGACTCCACAACCTGAATGAACCAAGGCAGATCTAAATATGTTTCTCTCTGCGCTGTCACAGCAAACCATCTTTTTTTTTGTAATTAAAGTTAAATTTATTAACTGCTGGTTTGAGAGTAGGCTAGAGCCTAGAAAATGTTCAACCCGCCAACCAGCTTCAATGTCAACCATGTCACGCCCAGCAAAGTGCCTCAGCATACATAATTATTGAATGCAACTTTATCAGAATTACTGTCTCAGGGCATAACAAAACGTGGTGTTTTTGCCTCTATCTGTTTCAGGGTTTTAACATCAAAAGTGTACAATCTCAAGGTTTTAAACTGAATGTATGGGATATTGGTGGACAGAGGAAAATTAGACCATACTGGAGGAATTATTTTGAAAATACGGACATTCTTGTAAGTACTCCTTCTGATACACTACCTCAGTCTTTTCTGCCGAGTGCTAGGAACATGAGCACGGTCGTGTTCTTTCTGGGCGGCCATTCCATTGCCATAACATCCCATCGCCGTGACCCGGGCTGCGGAGTGGCACGGAGGAAGGAAGACCTTTGAGTAACTTGAAGAAGTGGTTTTGTTGCTGCTCAGTAACAGTGTTGCGCCCACACCCACCTTATTAATTACAGCAGTAGGGAATTTAGAAGATGGTGCACATCAGAGCGGCTCCTGAAGACAGGAAGCAAGCTCGTGAAAGTCCTAGAAACCCGGACCTAGAAGGTGTGGTTGAGAGACGGGACCATGTTCCACCTGGAAAAGAGACTACTTAGAACTGTCCTCAGTTGCCTCAAGGACTATCCTAAGCCAAGAGGCTCGTTTAAATGTATAGAATAACTGAAGAGAGCGCGGTGCACAGAGCTCCTCACGTCCCCCTCCCACTATCCCTGAAAGTTTCACCGAGGACATCTGTTACAGTTAATGAGCCCATGCTGATGACACCATTATTAACTGTAGTCAGAGTTGGCACCAGAGTCCACCCTGTGTGTTGTACAGCTCTATGGGTCTTGACGAGCACAGAGCGACAGGCATGAAGGATTATCGTTTCATACGGAATAGGTGCATCACCCTAAAAATCCCGTTCTTCACTTCTTCATCCCTCCCCTCCATGGCCCTGAAGCACTAGGGACCCCTGATGTTTCTACACTATACGTAGGTTTGCCTTTTCCACATGGTCATAAAGTGGGAACCACATAACAGGCAGTCTCTTCGCATTGGCATCTTTCCCTTAGCAACGCATTGAAGGTTTCCATGTCTTTTTGTAAGGCGTGCTAGTGGTGTCGAGTTTACCAATTGGGCTGCGACCTGCATGGTGAGCAGTTCAAAGCCATCAGGTCAGAGCTAGGAGCAGTGTGGAGAGCCGTAGGGAGGTCGAGTCTCACTCAGAACAAAGTCTTTATTTGCCTGTAGCTGTACCTGCCCAGAAGCAGAAGCAGCATACTGGGGGTTCCTGCAGACATTGAGATTCTAGGTCCCGGCTCACTACCATTTTCTCTAGGACTACTCTTTCTCAATTCTGAGAAACTGCAATGCCCGTCTATGAGATTTCTCCCGTTCTCTCGCCTCCACCCCTTCACCGTCGCCTCCAGTCTTCCAGCGACCTTGTCTCCCAGCCTCCCTCAGCCACTTACCCTAAAATGTAGGGTCTCCTGAGCTTGGACGAGGGAGAGAGCATATGATTTTACTGATCTCTAGCTGTAAATTTACACTTATTTCCATTGTGACCATTGGCTATAGAGCACCATACTATCAGTCACTTTTATAACTTTGTTACCTATAGAGATGTTAGTATTTGTTTCCAATAGCAGTCGATATTTGCATATCATGTTAGAGTTATTGCAACAACACCTCACTGCTATCCAACCAATGCCAACTCATCGCAGCCCTGCAGGAGAGGGTAAAACTGCCCGTGAGTTACCCAGACTATAATTCTTCACAGCAGTAGAAAGGCCTGTCTTTCTCCCGAGGGGCGGCTAGTAGTTTTGAACTGCCAACTTTGTGGATCACATCCTGACACGTAACAACTATGCTACCGAGGCTCCTTTTATAGTTCGTGCAGACACCATGAGATACTGTGCAGGCTCATCACTACTCCAAAATCATGGCCATTGTTAGAATCACCTCTGGATCTTGCTCAATGGGTTACAAAGACGTGTACATATTCCTCTGTTATAGATTTGCTTTTAAAAAAATATATTTGATAGCTCTGATTCCATATCATGTATTTATAACGCTGTGTATTTTAGTTTATACATTCATTTTAGAAGGGGTTCTAGGCTGCCAAGGGATTCATGACACAAAAAAAGATTAAGAACCCCAGCCATCGACCTTGTCATCTCCAATGGTCTCATCTCCGTCAGCATTCTTTCAGGCATCTCACTCTCTCCTAGCTCCGTCTTTCCTGCTAGTCTTCTGACTCTAGCTATTGATACACACCATCACCCATGATCCATTGATCCTAACTGCACTCTTATCTTTCTCACATCCTTCCTTCCTTCCTTAACCAACTTAGATTTTATGATTCAGCCTTATAATCAGGGATGATGTCGATATCATCCAGTCCTTTATCTTACTCTCCCTTTATCACAGTTACCTAAAAAAAAAACCCAAACTCCAGCCCTGCTCTCATCCAATTTTCTATCTGTTCCATGGTTGAGCCTGTGGAGCTGAGTGTAAGTAAGACTATGCATGTAGTTTTAAATAAATTAAACCAAAGTGACAAGTCTTGCTGTAAGTGTGTGTGTCACCTGCCTCAGCCTGGTTGGTAATCCTCCTTTGCTTTCCTGGTCCATTGACCCTCCTCGACGACACTGCACTCTTCTTCTCAAAACGCTCGCATCTCAAATAGTTTCACTCTTTGCTGATGACTTTGCTTCCAACTTGTCTCTTTCTTTACTGGATCATCCCTGTCAGCATACGCACATCCTATCTCATTTCTCTTGTTCAAAAACCAACCAGCCACAAAGTCATTTCTCTTGACTGCGTATATATGTTCTTCTCTGGATAGTGTCTCACTGCTCAGCCTCCCTTTATGGCAGAATCCTTGAAAGAGTTTTCTAGGCTCTCTGTTTTTCCTTTCTTCTTCCCAATTACTCTAGCATCCTCTATTTAGGCTCACTCGTAAGCCTGCTAAGTCCCATGTTTGGTTTTAGCATTCCTCTTACTTGGCCTATTAGTACATTTCATGTGCTTGGTGATGATGTCCTTAAAACATTCTCTCCCCTTGATTTTCAAAATACCCATCTGTTTTGCTTTTCTCCTCTCTCACTCCTCCTCAGCCGCCACTATTCCCCCCACCCCCCACCTCACTTGTCTCCCCAACCTCCCCGTGTTAGAGTGCCCCAGGGTTCAGTCCTTGTGCTTTTCTTCTCTGCTTCACTGCTCAGAGAACCACCTGCTTGCTGGCAAGTCTCAAACTGAGAGCCCCAAGCTGCAACTGCCCCCCAGCCCCCTAACTGTTTCATAAATGGCCAGCTGCCTTTTGGGAATTCCCACTTCCACTTCAACATGTCCAAAACCAAATTCCTACCTGCAGCCACTCCTCCCCAACTCTACTCCTCCTCCAGCCTTCTGAGTCAGTGGCAGTTCCATTTATTCAGAAACACTGAAGGCATGCTCTACTCCTTCTCCTCTCCCTCCTCCCATCTGATCCATGAGCAAATCCTATCAACACACCCTTCCAAGGATTTCTAGAATCTGGCCACTTCTTTCTACCGCCACTGGCCCATTCTCCGATGATTGCAATATCATCTGTACTAGTCTCCTTACTTCTGCCATGCCGCTCCGAAATCTATTCCAAACACAGCATCTGTCATGAATACACACACACACACACACACACACACATTCTAAATTAGGTGGGGGATTCCATTTCAGATCATCAACTTTGTATTCAGCAGTTTAAATTATTTTATTATTATTTTTTAATCGTTTTATTAGGGGCTCATACAACTCTTATCACAATCCATACATACATCAATTGAGTAAAGCACATTTGTACATTCATTGCCCTCGTCATTTTCAAAACATCCACTCTCCACCCAAGCCCCTGGCATCAGCTCCTCATTTTTCCCCAGAGTCTGTAATCCTTTACAAGAGTAGAAAGACTCAACTCTCTCCCCGGAGCAGCTGGTGGTTTCCAAGTACTTGTGTTTGAAGGTTAGCAACCAAACGCACAGCCCACTGTGCCGCCAGGGCAGATTGAGAAAATCTTCGTGAAACATGTATCTGACTTCTATTAAAAATACACAAAGAACCCATAAAACACAACAAGGAGAACATAGCCCAATATAAAAATGAGCAAAAGATCTAAACAGACACACTACATAGATATGCATGAAAAGAAGCCAGACATCAAATGTCATTACAAAATTGCAAACTTAAGCCATGAGGTTCCACAACATACTTATGAGAATGGCTCAAATCCCAGAAGCTGCCTATCCCAGTACCGGAGAGGACATGGAGCAAGAACACTCATCCATCAATGGTGGGAACACAAAATGGCACGCCCATGTTAGAAGAAGCGCGGACGTTTCCAGCATTGGTGCTCCCAGCTATCTATCCAAATGAGTTGAAGACCTGTCTCCTAAAAAACCTGCATATGAATGTGCACAGCAGCTCCATTCTTAGTTGCCAAAAACTGCGTGTGGATTCTGACAAAAATGGCCTTAGTAGGTTAATGGAGAAACAAAACCAGCACATCTATACAATGGAGTGTATTTCAATAATGAAAAAATAACTATCAAGCCGTAAAAAGACATATACTCACTGCCATTGATTCAATGCTAACTTATAGCGACCTCCTATGGGTTTCTGAGTTTACAACTATTTAGAGGAGTAGGAAGCCCAGTCTTTCTCCTGCGGAGCTGCTGGTGGTTTTGAACTGCCAACCATTCAGATTGCAGCCCAATATGTAACCACTACACCACCAGGACGCCTTACAAAAAGACATGGGAACCTTAAATGCATTGCTAAGGGAAAGATGCCAATGCGAAGAGACTGCCTGTTATGTGGTTCCCACTTTATGACCATGTGGAAAAGGCAAACCTACGTATAGCGTAGAAACACCAGGGGTCCCTAGTGCTTCAGGGCCATGGAGGGGAGGGATGAAGAAGTGAAGAACGGGATTTTTAGGGTGATGCACCTATTCCGTATGAAACGATAATCCTGCATGCATGTCGCTCTGTGCTCATCAAGACCCATAGAGCTGTACAACACACAGGGTGGACTCTGGTGCCAACTCTGACTACAGTTAATAATGGTGTCATCAGCATGGGCTCATTAACTGTAACAGATGTCCTTGGAGAATCGTTCAGGGATAGTGGGAGGGGGACGTGAGGAGCTCTGTGCACCGCTCTCTCTTCAGTTATTCTATAACTCTGAAACTGTACTAAGTACCCTCTATT